GTAAATGGGGCTGTTTATGCAAATTAGAAGTTGCTCCTTCCTTTAGCTGGCTGTAGCTCTGCGTCCCCTGGCTTCCTTGATTGGAAGTCTTTGTGCAGTGAGCAACATGCACAACTGTATAAGACAACCCGACTGTCTTAATTTCTCACCTATGAATGCCCTGTACCCCACCTATCTCCCAGGATTGTTGTGAAGATCAAATGTGTATCAATTTGACAAGCATAAGCTTTTCATAAGCCTGAACTAGTAGGAATGATCTTTTTCGCAAAACACACTTTTATGTTTCTTCTAGTCTTTATGTAGTTTTTTGAAAGGAAAGCACTTGGCAGAAGGGACAATCATATGAGGATCTCCGGGAAGTATTTAATCTGAGTTTGCACAATGGTATGTTTGAAGCCTCTCCAGCACTGAGCGAGTTTTATTTTAAGTAGATCTACTGATCTGTGGCTTTTGGTATGTTAGGACTTGCCTTACAAGTTATAATATACTACTATTTTTAAAACCTGAGAAATGTTTGCTCTTCTTACACCTGCCTGTTGGATACCACAGGCAAAATATTAGCTACATGCTTTCAAAGCTAAGTGGCACCTTGAAAACAAACACCACAACACTCTTTGTTCGTGGAATATGTACAGTGTTTCTCAATGAACTCTTCCTGGAGGAATAGTCTGAAACCCAAAATGGTTTATTCATCAGATGCTAAACTGTGCTTTCCATGAACTATAGCGTCAATGCACTTGACAGTGGATTTTGTTTGCTTTCTTTGTCTGACAAAGAGAACACAAAGTTTCATAGATGAGTGTAGCAGTCTAGACGCTCACTCATCTCTGGAAGCGTACACAAGTCTTTACGCACACACAAGTCTATGTAATGGGCTTGCCTTTCTTTCTTTTTTTTTAGCTGAGCCATCCTGCCACCTGTTGGCAGCTCAGCGGCAGCTCAGCTCCTGCCGATAATCGAACCGCTAGTTGCTCAGAGCTCGCACTCTTGAGCGAGTTCTTAACCAACTGAGCCACTCCGCCGGCCCTGGGCTTGCCTTTCTTGAGCTGGATTCAAAGACTTCTTCAATTTCGCCTACCTGAAATTTAAAGCCGTTAAAAAAGGACCCAGAGAGCCATTGAGTTGATTGGATTTTCTTGTTTATTCTCAGATGAAACCAGAGGATTTGTAGTTTTTCTTTCCATAGAGTTGTTCAGGTTGATTTTTCTTTTTATGCTATAGGCAAAAGAGTCGTTGTGAATAGAACGTAAGCTTCATGGGCAGAGATTTTGTCATTTGTTCCTGATGTATTCCAAGTTCCCAAAGAGATCCTGGAACATATAATAGTAGGTATTCAACAAATCGTTTTTGAATGAATGAGTGAAATACACTCTTCTGGGCTTTAGCCCTATGTAATTTCAGACTGAAACAGCATGGGGCTCAGTGACACATCCTTACTTTGGGTATTGTAATGAAATGGACAGATTAAAATAATTTCTTTGCTTCAACACAGTGGCCTCGGGTTTTATTTATTCTAACCAGGAGCCTGATGTGCTGAACAAAATGGTTTGAGTGTTTACTCTTAAACTCATAAAGGAGATTTATGAATGACTATTTCCATTTAGAGTAGAAAGCTGATTGGGTAATTAATAACGTTTCCGTTTCTGATCCTATCTCTTCTCCCTTGCAAATCTGATGCT